GCTCTTGCAATCCTGTTGGATTCTCTTGGATCTGCAAAGGACTGCAGGGTTGTTAGAATATCATCACCCTCCTGCTATGGCGTTCTGCAAGTGTCACTCAGTTGTCATCATGACGTAATGCACATAGGTTTGTTGTAGGCTATGAGCGGAGCAGAATCTGAACAAGCAGTCATTCATAACTAAACATAAAATATTAATGTTTGTACATAAAATGTTTCAGGCTCGAGAGGTAACATCACAGCACTAGGAGAGGATTGCTCTGGGGGATGCAATGCTTGGTGCTAACCCACATGCAGAAGATGAATTCGTGACTTCTGAAGAATCACAGTAGCTATCAGTAGAGGTGGCAGAATCACTGAACACTTCAGATCAAAAGGGACCTTGGGAGGTCTCCAGTCCAACCTCCCACTCACATAAGATGAACACTGAATTACCACCAAGTTCCTCAGGGCTTTGTCCAACAGTGTCCTGAAAATGTTTTCTGGGGACTTTGTCTAAGATAATTTGAGGACTCTTGGGAATTCTCCAAGGAAGCTGAAGGTGCATTTTGCTCCCAGGTAAGGGCAGCCACAGGATTCCTTGACTCCTAGTAAGCTGCTAGCAATCTCTAGCAGCTCCTAATGAACGTTGTCCATTGTCCTTGATCAAAAGGTGCATTGCTGAGAGGCTGCTGAAGCTTTTCAGGCCCTTGGACTATTACACCTTGATGCCATTCCATGAAGGCATCAATGATACAGACAAACCAGGAAAGTATGGAGTATAACTAAATGGCTCTGAGGGTGATGGTCAAGGACATGGTGACCTAGGTGGTGGTGGTCTTGATCTCACTGGTGAGGAGGTTTGCGCACTGGATGGTTCCTGTAGGTCAACAATTGTTTGTGCAGCTGGTATAAGCAATAGGATTTTGGTTTCCATGACCTTGAGAACCTCTCTGAGGGTCAGAGACTTCTTGGAAGACATGTGATAAAATTACCTCCTGACAAATTGAGGTAAAATTACCTTTGCTAACAGACTGGCAAACCAGTTAAGAAGAGCTTTAAACAGGAATTTTGGAAGAGTGAGGAAGTAATGGGTAGGGTAGGCAAGAAAGGTTTGTATAAACAAAAGCTGGGCTGAAATGGAATCACCCCAAGTGCGCATAAATAAGGAAGTGCCTATGGGACAGCATTGCTGTGAAAGCTCTCATACCCTTTCCAGTAAATCAGCATGACTGGGTACCTCTCTGAAGTCCTGTACACTAATGCATGCAGCCTGGGGAAAAAAATGGGAGGAATTAGAAATCTGCAGTCAGTTCCAGAGCTATGATGTTTTTCTGGTTTGAGCAAGAACAGAACCAATTCTCTGTTCACTGATTTTGCTTTTCCGCTAAGTCTCTTCTAAGTGACTGCACTTTCTGAAATCAACAGCATAATTTTCCAGTGATCACTTCTAGCAGTGATAATGCTTGATGTTTATAGTTAATACCAAAGAATGGTATGCAGAAAGGCCCTTGATTATACTTGCTCCAATAGCAACCAAGGTCGCTGCTAAATCTTGTACTCCATGTTGGGGGTCTCAGAAGTGAAAGGGTTGCAAACACGTTAAAAGGTCGCAGCTGCAGGGAGGAGAGGACAGGACAGGTGACCCAAAACTGCCCAACAATTTATTCCATCCCATATACATCATACTGAATATAAAGCTGAGGGATCACAAGGGTCAAGCCCTCTTCTTCGATGGCCAACATCTGAGGAGGACTCTGTCTGTTCTTCTGTCTGTGATCCTGATCCATACATTCCTGAACCCAGTTCTGGAATCTGGCTGCCGAATCCAGTTCCTGTCTGCCACTAACTCCAGCCTGGGACTTTCCCAGTGCCTACCCTGCAGTGTCAGTGGTGACGTGATCAACATCAGGGGAGTTCAATATTGGTTTTGTATATATTTGTATATATTTCGTTAGTTTCTCATTAATATTATTAAATTTTCTTTTTATTGTTATTGTTTCATTAAAGCTGCTTTAGGTTTCTTTTCCAATCCATAAGTCTTTCTCTCCCTTATTCTCTCTCTCCCTCTTCTGGGAAGGGAAAAGGGTTAATAGATAGCATCTGTCTTTTGTTTTGTGGCTGGCCCATCCCTAACCTGTGACAGATGTCATGGGATACAAGACATGGTGGGATAACTCACAACACTGGATGAATCCAAGACATGGATGGATGGATGGATGGATGGATGGATGGATGGATGGATGGATGGATGGATAAAAACTGTTCAGGAAGGACAGGACCAGTCAACAAAGACAGTGTTTCCCTTTAAGTGAGAAAGTAGTGGGAAAACATGGAGCTCTGCCTTGGGATAGATGATAAGTCAGTCAAGAGTTTATGAGTCAGGATTAGCAAGCAGACCAACATGGATGACCTTTAAGTGTGAGTCTGTTATTGTCTGCTTGATCAGAAAGATGAGGCCTTCTTCAGACAACCTGCGTAAGGGACAACATAGCAAGGCACAAACCATCCAGAAAGCTTCTGGAGGATGTTTATGACAACTTCCCAAGCATGTAAAGGTTAGGAGAGCCAAAACCCACCTCAAGTTGAAACTGGCAAGGTACCAGAAGGGCAACAAAAAAGGCTTCTACGAAGTACTTAAGCAGCAAAAGGAAAACTGGGGGAAATGTGGGCTCACTGGTACATGTGCCAGGGGTGCTGGTGACAAAGGATATGAAAAAGCCCAAGACACTCAATCCCTTCCTCACCTCAGTCTTTACTGAACTAGTCTCCCAAAACACCCTCATGGACAAGCAGCCAAAGTATAGACTAGACAAGTTGAAAGTGAAGTGGATTGCAAACTCCCTGAATTTTTGGACTCTCTAGGAATAAGACCATGCACAGGTAAATGCTAGGGACTGACCAGCTGGAAAAATCTTTTGCAGAAAAGGGCCTTGAGGTCCTGGTGGACAACAAGTTGGACATGAGCCAGCATGTCACAGTAAAAAAGGCCACCAGCACCCTGGGCTACATCAGGAAGGGTGTTGCCAGCAGGATTGTTCTGATTTCGGCTGTGATAGAGCTAATTGTTTTTGTTCTTAGTAGCTTGCTTCCTAGTAGCTAGAACACTGCTGTGTTTTGGATTCAGTATGGGATTTGTATGAGAAGAATGCTGATAATATACTGATGTTTTTAATTGTTGCTAGGAAATCAAGGACTTTTCAACTTCCAATGCTCTGCAAGTGTGCAGGAGCACAAGAAGCTGAGAGGAAGCATAGCCAGGATGGCTGATCCAAACTAGCCAAAGTGATATTCCCTACCATATGATGCCATGCTCAGTATATAAACTGGGGGGCGGAGGTGGCCAGGGGTGGGGGCGGATCGCTGCTTGGGCATTGGTCAGCGGATGATGAGCAATTGCATTGTGCATCACTTGTCATTTCTTGGGTTTTATTTCTCTTTTCATGATAATTATTATTATAATTTACTATTATTTGTATTCTTATATCTTATTTTATTTTAGTTATTTAACCGTTCTTGTCTCGACCCACGGGTTTTGCTATTTTTTTCCAATTCTCCTCCCCATGCCACCGTGGTGGGGGCAGGGTAAGGAGCGAATGAGTGGCTGTGAGATGTTCAGTTGCTGGCTGGGGTTAAACCATGACAATGTTTTAACCTGTGAAATTGAACAGTGATATTAAATAGATATGAGATCCTCCTGGTTTATATCACACGAGTGTGCCTGGAGATGATTCTGTTACTGAGGCTGAGTCACAGATACTTTGTTTTGGTTTGTTTTTCTCTTCCCTTCTCTCGCTCCACCTATGGACATGCTCAATTAGACCCTCCTATCACTTCTTCAGCTTTTATAAACTCTTGACATCCTGCAGCTATATCTATGGGGAGGGTAGAGATCCCTTGCAGCAATTGGATCCTTCCTGACTTTGCCTCATTTCTACACCAGCAAGCAAGAGATGGATTTAAGCCTGAGGGGGATCAACATTTTTCATGTCCGCTAAAGAGCTGTAAGTGCTCTATGCTAACCCAGGCCAGGCTTGCCTCCAGCCCTTCTAACAGCTCTACTTGCTGCCTTTTAATCGCTTTGGGTGTTTAAACCACCTGGAGCAGCTCTCCCTGTTTCTCTAGCTCCCCAGTCAACCTCTCTATGCTGGGTGGAGTGGAGCAGTGGGGACAGCCCTGCTTTGTTTCCAAATGAAATTCAGGTCAGCCTGCACACTGAGCAGTGTGGCCAATGAGCAAAGGACCCAGGAGCTCTCTGATAGACTTATAGCTCTGAGGTGTCTCCCATTTATAAGCATTGGTACTGGAGCATCCCGATGGGCCCCCACACTACGTGGTGGGTGACAGGATTCTCCTACGGCCACATGGCCAGTTTTACCCAGGGTAGATGTTCCTCCCAGATAGGGATCCTGTTTTTCACCACACAGGAACCGGAAGACTGCTCTATTTCAGTGTTTTGGGTACAGCTTACAGTGATACGGACATGGAGGAAGCAGAAGTGAAAATCCTTCTGCTCCCTCCCAGCTCTGGCAGCTGTGGTCTTTGGCTGGGGGTGGGGTAATAGGTTTGGGCCAAGCTGAGGGAGAGAGAACATCACACCCAGGGAGAAGACCATGTCCACATTACCATGCCTGTCCCCTCCCAGCCACAGCCTCTGATGGGAGGTTCAGAGATACTGGTATGAGGGGCCCTGGAGAGAAAAGAGAGGTCTCTGTTTCCTGTGTAGGCTAAGCAGTACAAAAAAGGTAATGTGATTTCCTGTCCACGCCCAGGCCAGCAGTGACGAGTGTATCCAACTTCCCAGTGTATGAAGTACCTGCAACTGCAAATGGGTTGCTCAGAAAAGGCTGAAAATCTGCCTAGACTGCAAGGAAGTCTGAGTCAGCAGTGCTGGAAGGACAGGGCATTTCTCTGCTGACTCAAAGAGAGAAAGGTCTGAGCCCTTCTCAGCTCCACAATTTTACCTTCCTACTTCATGGTGCAGCATGCAAATTCCTTTGGGGAAGACTGCAACGCTCCTCTGGATGCTGGTCATCACCATTGCTGTAGCCCTTAAAGGTGAGACTCCCCCCGCCTTTCCTGGGAAGAGGTCATGGACGTGGGTTTTTTGTGTTTTCCGCTGCCTGGGACATGTATCATGGCCAAAATACTTTGTCGTTTCCTGGCCTCCCAGAGGATGTGTGGAGGTTGGAAGACTGAGAGAAGGATGGAGATCTGGCATAACCCTGCAGCACCCCACCACCAGGCATAGAAAAGATATTCACCAACCCCAGGGCTGGAAGGGATGGGAGACCAAGCTGGATTTTCCTGACCTAGGCATATTTGAGCTCTGTCCTCCCATGGTATCTTGACCCCTCTCTCCGGATCTTCAGAGCATGCCTTAGTCCTACATTGTCCTGCTGTGGGTGGGAATGGAGGGAGCCAGGCTGGCTCTGGGCTTAGCTCTGGCTGGAAAAGAAGAAGCAGGGACAGGATGGTCCTGATGCTGTCATGTCTTCTCTTGACAGCAGCTGCTGAAGGTAAGGCAGGTCCCAAGAGAGGTCCCAGGAACACAGGACCATTTCTGTACCCAGGTATTTCCATGACCCACTGTAATACCTATCCCATGGATTCCTGCTCTGTCACGTCTCATTTCTCCACATATTGGGGTATCCAGCCCATGGAGAGACAGATTGTGTGGGGGAACTGGGGCAGCTTTGGAGCTTTAACTTCCTTCTGTAAAAGGGAGAAAAGCAGATTGTAGCCTCCCAGCACTCTCCTGTCCCCCTACCAAACACCATGCTCTACCTGAATGGACAGTCTGTCAGTGGTGGGGAGCAATCCTGAGTGAGTGGCACAACAGGTGGAAGTGATAGGGGGCCTTTGGGCACCCTGCACCTATCCTCTTGTTGTTGTAACTGTGGCCATGTGTCTTGGCAGATATGAACCCTCAGGTGTGGCTGGTGGTGGGTGGAGAGGGTCTGATAGCACCTAGGGGCTCAATACAAGTCTCCTTCAAGGCCTCTCACACTGCTGGGGAAGAGGGAGTGGAGCAGGGGACGCCTCTCTTTCTGCTGAGCCAGGGCTGGAAGAGCCTAGTAGGGCCCAGGAGGGTCCCAGCTCTGACTTGTACTCCTGCAGGGCTTCAGGGTTCACTTGGACCATGATCCCACAAAGGGCACAGATGAGCACCAAAGATAAGCCCGACATGCTTAGCCCACCTCTACCCATGAAGCAGCTGGGACTGGTTTCTCCCCTGGGCTGGTGTTCCCAGTGCTGCTGGGGTGTGTGTGGTGGGGCCAGAAGGGTCACAGGCTCCATCTGCCCAACCCAGGCCTTGCCTCTCCCTTCTGGGAGTAGAGAGTCAGGCTCTGCTCTTCTCTGTGTCCCTTTGAGGTTTAGTTTCTCTTCTCCCTGCCCCAAAACAAAGCGACATGACCGCATAGAGGATGGGTCCTTGGCTCCTGACCTTGTCCTGCACAGCACTACTGGGAGATGAGAGCCATGAAGAGAGAGACTAGGACTGAGTAGGCTTAGGCTGCCCCTGCACACCTTGGCCTGCTACTGCCCAACTCTAAATGCCATTACATAAGACGAATCCTTGCATGCAAATCATCTTCCCTTTTCAGGTATGATGGGATGCTGGTGCAGTGAAGAGGAGGGAAGTTTTCAGAGATTTTTCTGAGCATGGAGTAGACAAATAAGACATTCCTAGACAAAGTAAATAACTGCCCCAAAGACTTGTGCTGAGTCTCACTCTGAGGATTTGGGATCTGAGCCTTGGGATTTTCTAGGGACAGGCTGTTTCCTGGGGAAGTTTAAGAGCCGCATGCTTCTTGTCCCTCTGGGGCTCATGTGCAACTGACAAACCAATTCCCCCTGTGTTCATGCCCAGCCTGTTCTCTGCACTCTCTGTGCAGAAGGGTGTGGGTCCAGGCATAGCTGGTGAAGGGAGCAGAAGGACTGGGAAGGGCTGTGGACTCCATTGTCTCCTGCCAAGCTTCTGGATTCGTATTTGAAGATACAGCATGATTACCAGCAGTTACCCAGATTCTCGTGGGTCTCCTGCCTCAGCAGTCCTGTGGGCAGTACGAAGAAATATGGGTTTATGGTGTCTGGGTGTGCCACTGCCCCCAGGGATAACTCCTGGAAATAAAGCCCAAAATTCTTGTTTTGTGCACCCTACAGCCCCAGGATGGACTACTGCACCCGTGACCTTTCTCACGGATGCTCAAATATCACACCTGCCCTGTGTCTTTTCAGGTACCCTTTCCCTAATAAAGATGGTGGCATCTGGTCCCAAGGAGGGGAAGGTCTCTGGATCACTCCCACTCACCTGCACTGTATCGGGAGCACCTCTGGATAGCCCTCGATATGACTGGAATTGTGTTCGTCAGGCCTCAGGAGGGGAGCTACAATTTCTAGGCTGGATCTATCCTTTTGGGAATAACACAGGCTATGCCCCACCCTTCCAAGGCCGAGCCACCATCTCTGCAGATAAAGATAAAAACAAGGTCTCCCTGCAGCTGCACGCCCTTACAGCCTTAGACACAGCCATCTATTTCTGCGCCAGGCAGCACACAGTAACAGCAACGGAGGGAGAGGCAGCACAGAAAGGGGAAGAACTACTGTGGTGACAGGGCCTTTTCTTAGAATGACAGTTGCCTGTACTTGCTCTGTGAAATATCAGTGAGATTTGGGATTGATAGATGTTGGAACTCCCAATCTATCTGTGCACAACTCAATTTGCAGTAAAATTTGACATTTATAATAGAAGTTAGAAATAAAATTTCATGTGTGAGTAAATCCCATGGGCAAGTCAATCCACAGACCCCTCACACAGCACAGACTTTTCACCTCCGTTCACATACTTCTCCACGAGCTGCCATCACCACCTCTTTCTCACAGCTGCCCTGGTATTCCTTCACTCACAGGAGAATGAGGACAGAGAGACCAGCTCTGACATCTCTCTGGGCAGTGGTTCTGCGGAGCCAGTGTAGGGGCTGCAGGAGGGCATGTGGCTCCTTCTCTGTGCAGCCAAAATCTGCCCCAAGCTGCCTGTCCAGCCTCCTCCTGTAAAGAAGAGGATTGTATCCTTGGAATGTAGGTACCCTCACAGCTCTGGGCACAGCGTGGGCAGTGGATGGATGCTTTGTCACATGGTGGACCTGGGATGGGGCCTGAGCAGTGCCAGTCTGAGCAGTAAAACCTAACTGCGGAAAAACTTCTGGGCCAATGGGGCTTTTTGGGTGAGAGGAGCCTCAAGAGTGATAAAAACAGTGGGATAATCGCCTCTTTTGACTGGTTGGTTGTACTGTGTTTGACACATCTCACAACGCGGTTTGCCCTCTTGGCTGCCAGAGCCCACTGCCAGCTCACATTAAGCCTGCTCTAAACAAGCACCCCCAGATCCCTTTCTGCAGGGCTGCTCTCCAGACACTCCTTTCCTAATTTATACTTGTGTCCAGAGTTACTCCATCCCAGGTGCAGAATCCAGATGAACTAAATGTCTTATTTGGTGGAATCAGGGAGTAGTAGATTCTCTGTGCTCTGTTTTCACTGTTTAGATTACTATTAAGTTACTGGTTTCCCCTAATCTTCCCATCTTTGCCCCTTGTCTGTGTTCACAGTGATTAGGCACTAACTAGATAACCTAATGCTGATCATGTAGAGAGATTTACTAACTGCTGTTGTCACTGGTTCTGTGCTGCATTCCACACTTTGGTGCCCAGCTTGGAGTGGAATACAAGAGTGTGAAAGTGATTGCTGGCGTTTGTGAATATGTGTGTTGTGTAAGTATTTGCAGACCTTTCCTTTTCAAAGTAAGACTGGAGCTACAGTGTCCTTGGCTTCATCCCACACCTGTGGGAAGGGACTGAATTGTTTATCTCCAACCTTCATGTCTGCCTTGGTCTTTCCAGGTACAAATTACCAGATACAGATGATGGTGTCTTCCCCTAAGGAAAAGTTCATCAGATCTCTCAGTCAATCACACCAAATCTTATTTGTCCATACATAGTGATATCTATGTTTGCCACTGGGTCCACTAGGTTCCTTAGGCACACTCAGAACTGTAGGTTCTGATCTGTCTGAATAATTTTATGAATTCTGCCCTGTCACCCAGGCCAAGTCACCATCTCTTCTGGCAAAGTGAGAACAAGATCTCCCTGTGGATGCATGGTGTAACACCTTTCAGACACTTCTATGCCACTCACACTGACATAGGGAGGATTGTATCAAACATGTATTTGGTGAACTGGGCTGTTTCAGTTTGAAGAGTGAGCTGAAAGGGTGCATTTTAATAAGGCACTGTATTCTTCTTTGGCCAGGATGACTAGAAGAAATTAAGGTACTGGTATGTGCTGGATTTATGGACCTCTAAAAGGGAAGAATAGAGCAAGATTTAGATGAAAAAAAATTACACAGCAATAAACAATATACTTGAGTGCCTCACTTAGCAGTGCTTTGAAACCATGGTTGTGCCATGATCTAGTGTGAATCTATCAATTTTTCTCCCGCACTGCACTGAGACTTGGCCATGTCACATCCTTCCCAAGTGAAACTGCTGCCTCTGAAGAAAAATGTAGGATCCAGTCTGGTTTGTCACTGGCATCTGCTGATTCCACCTCCTAAACCATCCTTCACACACATTCAATAAGTCCTGGGGTAGAAAGAAAAAAAGAGATTGCAAAGTTGAATTCAGTCTTTTCATCACTTTCTTGAAGCAGTCACAAATCAGAAGCTGGGAAGCTCTTACAGCTTTTTTCCTGAACATAGCTGTTAGCTACCTTTGAACCTCCTTTTTTTTCTTCCCACACTCTTCTCAAATAAACAACCTGCCACTAATTACCTTTTTTTCTTATTGGTCCCATATTTATTACTTTAATACCCGAATTTGGTATTTTTGACACTATTACCTAGTAATTTTGGACCAATATGGTATTACTGCTACTGTTATGCAGACGAAGGCAGCTTTCCATCCCAAGACTCCCTTCTGAACCTTCAGTTCATGCCAGTTTCATTTAATTTATGATGTTATTCATTTTTTTGGACAGAATTATCTCACTTAGCCCTGACTCCCCTATCTAATTCTAATTAAGCACTATCAGTTTCTTACCATGAGCACAGACAGCTTGCATACCAGAGCAATAAAATAACCCATTTTGTGCTCACAATATGCCTTTGCCCTTAAAGTTTTCACCACATGCTTAGTTCCTGTCAGAGGCCTTAGACAGTTCTGAGGCCTGGAATCCCTGTGCAAACTCTCCCTCACAGTTGTCTACATGTGTCCATGGGCACAGGTGCAAGAAAATCTATGAAAAAATACAGGGTGGAACTTTTTTTAGGTGTGTGAACGTCTACATCCCATCCTTTCAAAACTGAATCAGCATCTCGAAACATGTCCAAAAACCAGTGCTCACTGGAGATGCACCTCCTCACACTTACAGTCAGCTCTACCTCCCCCTGTGCTAGCAACACCAAGACAGAGACGCAAACAGGGTTAACACTAGAAGGAAAGAAAAGTTTCCCCATAATCAGGGCCTGTTCTGGAAAAAAGCACAGGCCTAGATTAGTTTTGCTGTTAAATTGCAGACCTTAGGGAGAGAAGAAATAAATACATGCAGTAGATGTAGCCTTGTGATACTAGGACTACCTACCCAAAAGAAGGATTTTTGTCATAGATGACCAGTGTCCCTTTTCTGCTTCCATTTTTCACCCTATTTTTCAAGGGCTGAAACAGCAACATCAGTCCTGAAAATCAGGCAGAGGTTTTGGGGGCAGCTTTGTGATTTGAAAATGCTGTGGGATGATGCCTGTGTTTCTTCATTTTTCCTTGCAGGAGAAAGCCAGACTCTTAGAATCATCAAAGCATTCCATAACAAAGAGGTCTAGGTAGGAAAGGACTCCTGGAGACCACCTGGTCCAAATTTCTAGTAAAAGCAGGGCCTTAGATTAGATTTTCCACGGTCTTGTCAAGCAAAACCTTGAGTACTTCCAGAATGGGAAAATTCTAATACTTCTCCAGGCAACAAGTTCCAATGTTTGATTTTCTCACGGTAAAGATAATTTTTTTAACAACCAGACGAAATTTTCCTTGAGGCAATTTCTGCCAACTGCCTCTTGTCCTGTCCCTGGGCACCCCTGTAAAGAAAGCTCATCTGTCTTTCCTGTAACTACCTTTTAGATGTTGGAAGTGATCAGGTCTCTTCAGCCTTCTTTTTTTCTAAGCTGAACAAAGCAAATTCCTTCAACCTTTCTTCATATGCCAAGGCCTCCAACCTTATAACCTTGTTTGTGGCCACTTTCTGGACCCTCTCCAATTTTTCAGTGTCTTTCCTGAATGAGTGGGACCAACACTGGACACAGCATTCCAGGTGTGGCCAAAGAAATGCTGAGTACAGTGGAACAGTCATATCCTTTGATCTGCTGGACATGTTCTTGGTCATGTAGCCCAGAATATGGTTTGTTTTCCCTGTTGCCAGGACACAGTGATGGCTCATGTTCAGAACCCCAGGTCTTTTTCATCAGAGCTACTCCTAGCCATACAGCCCCTAGCCTGTGCTACTGCTCAGGATTGCCCTGTGGCAGGTGTAAGATTTCTTTCTCTAGATCTCATATGCTAGTCATTTGTTACCAGATGTCCTTTTCCAGTGTCAGACAGCAGCCTCTTTGGATAGAGAAAGTCTGCAGATCTTCTTCTTTGTCTGTATTTCTCATGGGAACCCTATCTCCAGAAATAACCATGAATGTCACCAAAACGCTCAGGCTTCAGAGAAGCAAATAGGAAAGGCAGAGATCTGCTGGCACAATAGGAGTATTACTTTCTGTCCTTCAGTAACCACAAGTCTGCACACTGGTGCCTGCTGAAATCTTGGAGCAAGTGTACGTACCTGTCTTGGCCAACCTGGATGTCAGTACTTGAATAATTAGACTGATGTCAGAGGTCCACAGTTTGACATTCAGTGTGTTGTTATGTCCTTGTTAGGTATGTAACTTTTGTTAAACGAAAGCACAATTAGACAGGTGTTATGAAAAAAACACATCAGAAAGCAGAACTAAACTTACACAAGAATATTTGCCTGGTGACTTGCTACACCAATCAATGAGTAACAGCAGATGAGAATGGTCCACCAACAGTAACGATCAAACAAACTGGAGGATGCTTTCCATCTCATAAAACTCAGCCACCTGAGCCTGAAGTGGTGGTGGAAAGACTCTACCTACCATGACATCTGACTGTGGAGGTCCTCCAGGGACACGCTGGACCAAGCTAGTGTGGACCAAGTACTTAACAGCCTGCTTCTGTTGACTGCTGCCACTTATAACCATCAATCCTGTCAGCAAGGAAAGTGAAAGAAGACATAACAACTTTTGCATAACTTCTAGTGTTCTTTGCACTGTTAATCATTCTTTCACAGAGGCAATAAAATTCAGTCTCCTTCATAAGAATGCAATTATTGCACTGTAAATGAGAGTTTAATCCATCGCAACCTAAACCACGACAACACCTGCCTCTCTGTATTTGCAGAAGAGCAATCAGTTCCATACTGTAATTAGAATATTAAAAAACTATGCTGAGCAATGCAGTTAAGTCCTAAAAGACCTTCTTATTCACTCATTCTGCACTGCCTT